GGGTGTGACACTCTCTTTTAGCCTCAACAGGCACCTGTACTCATATGCGCGTAATCACACACAGACACACACATGCATGTGATTAAAAAATAAAATCCTATGAGAAAAGGTCTTCATCAACAGTAATAGTTCCCATTTTTCCTCAATGTATATTTTTTATTGAATTTTTGTACATTTTGTGCATATAATGCATCTTAATCATATTTAGACCTCCTTCCCCATCTGCACCCTCCCAGAGGGGCCCCCCCATGAATTTCATGTGTTCTGTCATGCATGTTAAGGCCCATCGAGTCAAGTTTGTGTCCCCAGACATCCCTCGGTACGAGTTTATCCACTGAAGTCTAGTGTCTCTCCCTTGGAAGATCAACTCTCCCTCACCCATCAGCTGCCAAGAGTTCTTCAGCTAAGGTTGGGGCTCCTGGCTGTTTCCCTAGTTCTGTGCTGGGTTTTTGTCTGATTTAAGTTTGCATGGGTCTTGTGTATGCTGTCAGTTGTTATGAGCAAGGTCCAGAGGCCAGGCGGATGCTGTTTGCTCGTGGTCATGCAGCATTTCTGGCTCTTACAGTCTTTCCACCCCCTCTTCTGCAATGGTCCCTGAGCCATGGGTGGGTGAGGTTTAATACAGGAGTCTAGTTCAGGGACAAGCACTCCGCAGTCTCTTATTCTCTATACTTTGGCAAGTTGTGTGCATCACACTCTGTTGCATGACAAAGTTCCCATTTAAAAAAATATTTTAAAAGATATTACATGTATGAATGTATTGCCTGCATGTGGGTAAGTGCACCCATGTTGTTCAGTGCCCTTGGAGGTCAGAAGAGGGCATTGGATTCTCCTGAAGTAGAGTTACAATTGTTAGCTGCCATGTGGGTGGTGGGAATCGAACCCGGTCCTCTGCAAGAGCAGCCAGTGCTCTTAACAGCTGAGCCATCTCTCCAGCCCCAATAGTTCCCATCTTGAACACCTGAGAGCTTCAGACCTGTACTAAGTGTCCACCTCACCTCCTGTAGTCTTTCCGTTACTAGCATTGGATCTGACCTCCTTTTGCAGAAAGGCAAAATGGCAGAGACGGTGGCTCTGTGGCTCAGGTCTGCCGACTGTACCATGCTGCCCACCCCCTGCCACCCAGCTTCCCTCCAGTCCTGTTGCTTTCTTCCCTAGTGGTAGAACAATGCGACGCCAACTTTCCCCTTGGAAGTGGGGTGGTGAATTGCCACTGGAAGTGCTCAGAGCATCTGTCTGTGAGGCCTCTTGTCCTGAGTCATCTTTGAGGCATTTCTGTTGAAACTTTGCATAAGCGCCTGGACCCCGGACTCAGAGGTCGTGACTATGTAGCCTGTTGGAAAATTAGAACAAAGCTGTGCAGACGAATGCGCCCTACAAGAGCAGGAGGTCAGAAATGAGTTCGTGGATTTGATTTCAACTCAGGATTTTGTAAGGACTTTGACCTGGCGTCTTGCCCGGGACCATTTCATGCTCCTTCGGATCCTTGGGCTGTTGCTCTTCATGTCAGCCCAGCCCAGCTTTGTCGCCAGGCTTCTGGGGCTCATGCTAACCAGAAGCTTCCCAGGCAAGTGGCTGCCTGGTACTGGAAAGCAGTTGTGCCAGAGCTTTCTCCACAAGGGATCTTTTCTAGATCTTGAAGTCATTCCAGTTCCATTTATAAGCGAGTGTTTATCATTTGCTGTCTTGTTTCATTCATATGTTAGGAATGAGAGAACAGGTTACCAGACTATTACAATTTCCATCTGAATTAAGTTCCACAGGGACTCTGGAGGGTGGAGGCCAGGGCTCAGGAGCCTTTCTTTGCCTGTATTTAGAAGGTGTCTTATCAAGGACCCCAGCCAAGGCCACTGTCTCCAGACTCTGTTGTTATGTTCCGCATGCAGATCCTGGTGAGGGTCTAGGGCTTTCCCAGTGTGCCATGGCGGCATTTGTTGCGCCTATCTCTTCCTTTACATCTCGCCTCCATTTCCTGCCACGGCTGACATTTGTGCCCAAAAGTTCTTCTCAGCCAGAGGCTGTGTCCTATCAGATTCAAGTGTCCATGCATCACAGACCTGATTAGAACACTTCTGGAAAGAGCAGGGTAGCTCTGTGACCTTGGGCGAAGGTTTCTTAGACAAGGACACAGGAAGCACCAACCACAAGAAGGAATTGATAACCTGAGGTCTGTCGGTGAGATGTTCTGCTTATCAGAGGATTCTCTTAGGAAAAAAAATGGCAGTAGACTGGGAGAAAGGATTCACAAAATACACATGACTAAGGACTTAGATTTGGAATGCATGAAGAACAAGCCAGTCTCAGTGGTAAGATGAACAATCTAATTTAGAAAACTGTCAGAAGCTTTGAACAAGTGCCTCGCAAAGGGAGATACACGTGTGGCCAGTAATCATGGTGAAGGGTGCTTGGTACCCTAGTTATCAGGGGAATGAAAACTAACTCCCACAGAACGGCGGAAACCAAAAAGACCGATAACATTAACCGTTGGTGGCCTGTGGGGCGGTTGGTGCTTGGTGGGCTGTGGGGTGGTGTGGTAGTTGGTGGGCTGGTGTGGTGCTCAGTGGGTCTTGGGGTGGTGTGGTACTTATGTGCCATCTCTGTGAGCTCGAACTCATGCTGCTACTCTGGGAAGGTCTGGCAGCCCCAGGGTAGAGGGAGGGGACTCAGTGTGCACATGGACAGGAATGACATTGTGGGTCTGAAGGTACGGAGCCTCTGTGCTGGTCCTGTTGACCTCGGTTTGGAGTTGGGCCATCCTTTCCCCCCGCTGTCCATCACATGTGCCGAACTTACTCTGTTCCTTTGCTTCCCAGCTTACTGGACTCTTTCCTGTGGGTTCTAAGCTGGGGACCAGCCTGTTGTAAGTACACAGGCCCTCAGGGGGGCCCTTTGGCCGCTGCGTCTCCTACTTGCTCTCCCTGGGCATGGTGCCTGCCAGCAGGTGGAAGAATGGGAATGAACTTCTTCTCTTTGACTGTGGGTGAGCAATGGGGCCGGAGAGACAGGGCAGAGTGGGGCTGACGTGGAGGCCTGACATGCCCATGAGGCACCTGGTCGTGTTTTGTGGTACTGTGGGGACCCTGCAAAGTTCACATGGGGCAGCTTCAGTCTCTTCAGATGGCTATAGCAAAATTCTGTGGATTCAGGAGCTTCTGAACAGCAGCGTGTTTCTCCCAGGCCAGGACGCTGGCAGATGCGGTGTCTGGTGAGAGCTACTTCCTGGCTCACAGGTGCCTTGTTCTCACCTGCTGGCAATGCTGATCTTCAGGTCTTTTATAAGGGCTTGAGTCCCATTTAAAAAAAAAAACTATTTTGATTTTATGTATATGAGTGTATTGCCTGCATATGTGTAACTGCACCTGTGTCATGCAGCACCCAAAGAGGTCAGAAGAGGGAGTCAAATCCTCTGGAACTGGAGTTACAGACAGTTGTTAGCTGCCATGTGGGTGCTGGGATTCGAACCCAGGTCTTCCGCAAGAACGACCTGTGTTGTTAACCACTGAACCATCTCTCCAGCCCAAGTTCCATTTGTAAGGCTTCTGACCTGATTACCTCCCAGAGGCCCCACTTGGGGTGACAGGGATTCATAACAAGTTTGAGGAGACACAGATGGTCAGCCTGTGACAGGGTGATGCCTCTGAGATGTGAATCAGGAATGTTAGTCTGGTGAAGTATGTGGATGGGTTGTGGAAGGCAGAGGAAGCCAGGGGCCCCTCTTCTGAGTGGGGCAGTAAGCATCCAGGCAACGACTGTGACCTGGGGCATCAGGAGGAGGGGCTAAAAGAATGCATGTTGGCAGGCTTTCTGGTATGGCTTTGTCCTCACAGAAATATCTAGAAGCCCATTGTCAGGGGCCACAGGCAGAAGAGACTACTTCCTAGGACAGCAGTGTGGGTTTTGCCTGCCTTCCTCCCCAAAGTTGCAGCCAGGTGAGGATCAGATTGGATAGAGCCCTGGCCCCCTAGTCCTCACCTCTGATACTTTCTGGCTGGACAGCGTTGTGGGGCTTGTCAGCACCTCTCTGAGCATCAGGTATCCTTGTCTACAATGGAGCAGTTCTAGCTTGTGAATGCTGTGTTGATTAAATATGGCATGTGGCTTGTGGGCTGTTCTAGTTTGTTTCTCCAATGCTGTGACAAAACACTCTGACCACTACCAACTTGGGGAGGAAAGGGTTTATTTGTCTTACATCTCCTTCATCAGGGAGCTCAAGGTAGGAACTCAGGGCAGGAACCTGGAAGCAGGAGCTGGAGCACAGGCCATGGAGGAATGCTGCTTACTGGCTTGCTCCCCTGGCCCCTGCTCAGCCTGCTTTCTTATGCAACACAGGCCCACCTGCCCAGGGGTGGCACCACCCACAGTGGGCTGGGCCCTCCCACATCACTCATCAAGAAGATGCTCTCAGACATGGCCACAGGCCAGTCCAATGGATGCAATTCCCCAATTGAGGCTCCCTCAACCCAGGTGTGTCAAGTTGACACTAAAGCTGTCCAGCACATGGGCATACAGTAGGTGCTTAGCAGCAGGCGTTACAGTTGCTCCATCACCGTATGTTGGGAGGATCCACCATGGGCCTTAGAAGGAGAAAAACTTGCTGTAAGCCAGGAAGTGTCCAGTGTAAGTTGGGTGGTGTTAAGTGTCATCTAGTCATGTGACTATACATGTTCTGTTCTAAGAAATCGACAGCCATTCCTGCACAAATCATGTTGGATGAACTATTGTTCCTTTACTTTCTTGAAGGATGTTTCATGCCGTGTGTGGCAACCACCTCCTGCCGGGGAACCTGGGCTTCCTCAACAAAATGCTGGATGTGCTTGGGACCCTGGGCTTGTAGAAACTCTCGGGGTGTCCACAGCGGCCCCTCAGAACTGCCTCATTGCAGTGCTGGCAGCCAGAGCCTTGCTTCCCTTGATGTTTCCTTTCTGAGAAGTAGGTCTGTGTGTTTGCTGTTTTCCTTTGGAAGTTTCTTCAAAAGCCTTTGCTTTCTTCCCCTGCTTCAGCTTTCTGAAGAGGAAAAAATTCAGCGCTACAGCATCCTGTCAGAGCTCTACGAGCTGATCGGCTTCCACCGTAAGTCCGCCTTCTTCAAGCGCGTGGCGGCCATGCAGTGTGTGGCCCCGAGCATCGCAGAGCCAGGCTGGAGGGCCTGTTACAAGCTCCTCTTGGAGACGCTGCCTGGCTACAGTCTGTCGCTAGACCCCAAGGACTTCAACAAAGGTACTGGGAGCATCTCTTTTTTTCCATTAATCTCCCATGTTTGAGCGTCTGGCAAGTGTTGTAGGCTGTGGTGGACGCCTGTGGTTCAGATGACTGCACCCTGCCCTGTACAGTGGCTCACAGTAACAGCGTTATGACAGGAAGTCCTGGAGCCCACCTTCCGGACCCATTCTTACATCTGTGTTACTGGGGATCAGAAATCGCCCTAGGGACTATTGCCACAGCCCGTCACCAACAAAACACTTGATGTTCCTAATGATTGTTACTTACCTTGTGAAATTTAGCTAGATTAGCCAAAAATCAATGAACGTTTCAGAAAGAAATATACTTGGATTGATGTTTATATCTACAGCTATGCATTTGGGACAGATTCTTACTCTATGATATTGATAACATTAAAACATAGCTATAAATCTGATAATAAAGATAGAGTAATACAATGCTGCAGTTTGGCAAACGTCAGTGAGTAAGAGGAAAATATCTTCTGTTGGTTCCTGCTTTGGATGGAGACACAGAGCACTTCCTGCAACACAGACACAGGGCTAGTGATGGCTGTGGGTTTCCAGACAGGAGAGCACCGACATGTCCTCTGGGTTGTTTTTGCCACTAGGACACAGACAGATCCCCAGCATCCCCCAAACTTAATCACAAGCCATGTTCCTCCTTCCTTCACCTGCTGGAATAACTTCCAGGTGGTCCTTGGGCTCTGCCCTCCCCTAAGGGTGACACTTTAGCCCCTTACCTGCTCAAGTAGAATTTCACAGTGATGCCAGAACTTCCTAGGAGTGACCGTGTAGTGGGCAGGGCAGTAAGCACAGCACAGGTGTTGTGCGAGCCAACAGGACTTTATGTATTGGCAAGTGTAGGTGGCAGGAGCAGGCGCCATGGCCTGCACCTGAAAGCTCAGCTCTCAGGAGACTGGACACAAATTTGAGGCCAGTTGGTGCTACATAGTGTGTGGGTTCTAGGCCAGCCTGGGCTACAGAGTGAGACCCCGGTCTCAAAACACAGTACAACAAAACAAAACAGAACAAAAACCAAACAGCAAACCCTCCCCTCCCCAATAGTAGGTGGTGGGCAGGTCAGCTCCAGCACTCACTGCACTTTGCTAACCCCTGGCAGATCACAGTGAGTGCTAACACTTTTTTGGGGGATGGGGGAAACAACCCCTTCACCTCTCTCTCCCTTTTTTGTGGTCACATTAGGAACTGAACAGATCCAGGGTCCAGTGGTCCCAAGTCTGTCTTCCAGGATACTGAAATGAGCTTTAAGTTAAAGATCAAGAACTGGGACCAGAGGTGTGCATGACTGAGCAGTCCCGGTTCAGGTGTGGTTCCACCGCAGCTATGTTCTGCAAGGTGGTCCCAAGATGTCCTTACTGCTGAGGGGGCAGGGTAGGACATAAGGGATGATTACTTCTCCTCCAGGGTATGCTGGCCCAAAATGTTTTCTAGTCTCTCAAAGGGATTACTGGGTTGGATAAGCAAAGAGGCCCAGAAGAACAGGGGCTCTCAGGTGGGTGACGAGGAGGCTGTGGCCGTGGAATGCTGAGGGGAGAGACTGGCCTGGGTGGAGGGCCATTTGGTGGTCAGGTGGGGCATCTGGTCTCAGGTGTGGGGCTAGGCAGGGAAGTGCTGTGGCTCTGTGTCAAGTAACTTACTGAGGGAGGGGTTGCACCGCCCCTAGTCCCTGCAAGGTCCTGTGGGAACAGAGCAGCCCTGGAATTTGTCTTCAGAGCCAATGATGTCCTGCCTCACTGAAGTCATGGGGCTGTGAGGGGCAGGCAGAGGCCTGCTGGTCTGCTTTTCCATTCGTGGGACCTGCGGGCTTTGCTCTTTTATGTTGGACTCACAGAAGAACATGCTGTTCCCATGACCTTGCCACAGGTCTCCTCCATCCTGCGTCCTTGCTGAGGGTTCTTTTTAATTAGACATGAACCTTGACATTTATCTATGTTCAGAACCATCAGGGACTGCCAGTCAAGTTAATGTCTTTCATTTGGTTACGTTTTTCTTTTTAAAAAAAGATTTTTATTGATTCTTTGAGGACTTGCTATAATGTATTTTGATCATATTCACACACCCCCATCTCCTCTCTTGTCCTTCCCCTTCCCCATCTTCCTACTGCCCTTCACATCATGTGACAAGGTCTGATGAGGTAGCCCAGGCCAGCCTAGAACTCTGTTCTCCTGCCTCAGCCCCTCCTTTGCTAGGAGTACTGGTGTACACCACCGCCCACAGCTCTGCAATATCATTTTGAAGTGAATTCTGATCTTTGCTTAAAAAAATTGTTTTTAACATCCACTTCTCTTTCTGTGTGCACTTGCATACAGTGCCTACGTGGAAGTCGGAGGACCACTTGTGGGAGTTGGTTCTCTCTTGCCATGTGAGTTTTAGAAATCAAACTCAGGTCACGAGGTTCGTTGGCAAGCACACTTCTCACTGAACCATCTCGCTAGCCCATCTGTGCCTTTTAATCTCAGCCGTTGGTATTGTACGCAAAGGGTCAAGAGTGGATCTGGGACCCTTTCCCATAGGTCTTCTGGTCTGCAGAGATCCCTCGCCTCTTGCTCTGTGCTGGACACTGTGCTGAGAGTTGGGGTGGACGCAGGATGCTTCGAGTTCCTGACAGGTCGTTTGTTGTATTTGTAGCCCATCAGTGTTCTGGGCTAAGGTATGTGGTGGCTCGAGCTTTAATTTCCAGTTACCTGATGGGTATATTGAGCGTTGTTTTGGTATGTGCTTTTTTGCCTTCTGAATCTCTTCTTTACTGACCATGTGCGCATTTCGAAGCCAGATTCTTTGATGTGTGATGTGTGTGACATTCCTTTATCCGTGTCTAGCTGGTGCTCTCTCCCTCTGTGTCCTGGTTTCTCATTGTTAGGTAGTTCATCTGTAGAGCAGTGGTTTTCAATTTTAACAGCATCTACTTGGTTAACTCTTTCTTTTGTGGGTGGTAACTTGGGGGTTTTGTCTAAGAAACCATTATTATGCCAAATGCCACTGATATTTTTCCTGTATTAACTTGTAGGCATCTCATAGATCTTGAAGTTCTGTAAATGTGTAGAAGCTTCTAGAAAGTTGCATTTTCTGTGGCGGTCTCTGGCCCATTTTGGTGTACTGTTTGTGAAGTTTGTTGCCTGGCTGGTGGCCGTCCTGTGCCCCAGCTGACCTGCGGGGGGCCCAGCTCTGCCCTGGCAGGGGGCTGTGCTCCTTTGTCCGAGCTCTAGTGACTGCATGGATGTGGTGTATGTCTGCGCTCTCTGTTCTCTTCTAGCAGTTATGTTGTTTGTTCTTTTGCCAGAACCACACTGCCTTGATTACTGTTGCCTTTTGGTAAGTATTGTGGTCAGGATATTTTTATTTATTAAAAAAATTGCCCTTTTTGGACATTACAAAGAAGTGGTTGTTCACAAAAGTGGTTGTTCACATTTAGGTTCCATTTCCTGGTACTTTACTGGTGTTTAGAGCAGCTGCCATGCAGGGTCATGCTTTTGGGCTAGGCCTGCTTGGCTTTTGCCCAGAGTTTGTCCTACCCACAGCCTTGCCAGGCTCCATGCCTCTGGGTGTATATGCCCATGGAGCATCCATCTCACGTATACCAAGGCAGGCTGTGGCCTCAAGCTAATGGTTTCCCGTGAGTAATCTTTCCCCATGGTTTAGTGGGAAAAGAGAGACTGTGAGCTCCGTGCGACATGTGAGGGGACAGACCCAGGATGCCATTATTGACTGTGCATGACCTTGGCCAAGTCACCCATGTCCTGTGCTGTGCTCTGAGGACAATGGTTTATCTGGAAGGTTGGATTTCTTCCTTTGGAGTACTGAGGATGGTGTTCAGCATGTTTGTTGTTGGTGTGAGATGAAGTTCTGACCAAAGCCAGGTGTTCTTTGCAGATCTTTCCTGAGGCTGCTGGAAGGGGTAAGAGAAAATGCACAGGGTATTAAGGGCTTGCGAGACAGTGACCAGCTAGCAGAAGTCCATTGCTGGAGGGCCTCCTGGGGCCTTGGTCATGTTGACTGGGGTTGAGGGCAGAGTTCTCTGGATGCTGAAAGGCTGAGAGTTACTGACAGAAAGAAAAGAAAAGGCCACTTAGTCTGAAGAAGGGAGAGATGAGTGTCTAGCTGAGTTCTGCTGTATTCTGGCCAATTTTGTTGGGGTAAGGGGTGATGCTTGGAAAGAGAAGGGAGAGATTTTTGAGCACCAAATGATCACTTTATAGAGATGGGAAAGTGGATTTTAAGAGGTTTCAATGTGCCCTGTGAGTGGAAGCCCCGTTAGGTGTGCTCCTAAGAGACTCTAGAGGAGCTGAAATGGCTTTTCATTGACGTCTTTCCCACATCTTTGCCTGTCTCTCAGGCTGGCTTCAGGGGAAAGCTAGCTAGCCACTTGGGCTTTGCACAATTCACACCAGGAAGGGACGGATTCCCTATCCTGTGTGTGAACATATGAGGGCTCTGGTGGCTTGACCTTCTCCCAGGGACACACATCCCCTGCTCGTCACTTGCCTGACTCCCCGGTCACCCTCCGGGACAGCCCGGCGCTGATTCTTCTGAGAGTTCCTATGGGGGTTCTGTGAACAGAGTATGTTCCTTTCGTCCGTCCTTTCTCCCTAACCCATCCTACTTGCTCCTACTCGTAGCCCTTCTGTGATTTGGGAACATACCTAAGAAGGCTTTGGGGTGGTTACTGAAGACCCACCCCTCCCTGGCATCCCACCAGCCCCACAGTGGCAGCTCCACCGTCCCCGGGGTCCCACCGGCACTGGTAGCGTCCCTGTGAAAAACCTGAAGGGCAGACCTGGCAAGCAGCCATCACGGTCCCCCGGCCGCTTACTGAATTTTCTCCTTGCCCTTCGTTGGGAAGTCTGGAGTGGCATACTTCTTTTGAAGAATACAGCAAGTGATTCTGTCCCTGCTTCTTGGACTTCCATTTCAGGAGGGGACACTTGTCATCATACCACGAAAGGAGTCTGAGAAAGAGGGTGAGGGAGTAGCTAACAA